TCCCTCATAATCACAAAAATGAAACACTGAAACATGTGGATATTATTATAGATCTGTAAGATTAGAAAGAAAAAAAAGAAAATCTGATGGTATCAAAGGTTTAAAAGAACATGGAAGAAAAACTCATACTACTGGTAGGAATTTAAATTGGCAATAATTATTGAGAAATTAGACAATGTCTAATATAGCTGAATATGTGCGTACCCTAGGATGCAGCAAATTCCCAGCTATGTATATAACCTACAAAAGGATATTCATTGCAGCACTGTTTTGAATAGCTAAAAAATGAAAAATAGTCCTATTTTACCTCATAAAATGTGGTAAAGACCCAGAATGGAACACCATAGGACTGTGCAATCTCTACTATAAAACTACATGTACATTCCTAAACATCTGACCTTCTGGGGGAAAAAGAAAATCATATACACTAAAATACGACTGAGTATGTGAAAACTAAATCAAACACTAAAAAATACCAGTGATTATGCAAAAAAAAAAAAAGTGTAAGGTTTGGGACATACCAATTTAGACCTATGCAACTTTGGAACCTGAGCACTAAAACAAAAATAAAAATAAGTAACAATAACTGAAACCTTAGAAAATGGATTAAGTGGGTAATAACTTAAGGCTGCCCAAGCAGATGACAGAGGGATTCCTCCATAGCTATTAAAAATGCATAACAACAGTAAAGTAGAAAGGTTGGTTTATGGATGTTAAGATAGTGCAGAAAGAAGAGGGGTCAAAAGATAGAACTTTTTATGCTAGGACTGTCAACTTTGAGGAGAATACCCAGGTACAGATGATCACCTTAACAAAAAAAAGTTTCACTTAGGAGTGCCTGGGTGGCTCAGTCGGTTAAGCATCTGACTCTTGGTTTAGACTCAGGTCATAATCTCAGGGTCCTGAGATCAAGCCCTGAGTTAGGCTCCATGCTCAGCCTGGAGTCTGCTTGTCTCTCTCTCTGCTCCTCCCCTAGCAAGCTCGCACACATGAGGTATCTCTCTCGCTCTCTCTCATTCTCTCTCTGGAATAAATAAATAAAATCTTTAAAAAAAAAAAAAAAGGTTTCACTTAAAAGCTGAAAGAACTCCTGTTTACACAAGCAGCCAAGATGAGAGCCTCTCCCGTTCTTATGGAAATTATAATTCTACACTCTTTATCACAGCTCCCTTTACCTAGAAAATAACACAACTTTCCCATTGTCCTGACATCATTCCTCTATTTACCATTTTTTTAAAGATTTATTTATTTATTTGAGAGGGAGAGCACGCATACACAAGCATGTGTGCAAGTGCGGGGAGGGGCAGAGGTAAAACTCTTCAAGCCGACTCCCTGCTAAGTGCAGAGCCCCACCTGGGACTCGATCCCACAACCCATGAGATCATAACCCAAGCGGAAACCAAGAGTCGGATGCTCAACCAACCGAGCCACCCAGACGCCCCCATTTACCAATCATTTATGAGCTAACTACACAGTGTTATGAACGTATATTGTAGTCAAAATGATTATGTTATGTATCACACTGAAACCCATATTAAGTTTTAAAAAGTTGCAACCTGACAATTATGCCAATGTCTAAATCACACAAAATACTATTTGTTTATGCACAGGTAAATATGTATAAAACTATGTATTATAAGGATACATATAATTTCAGAATACAGAGTTTGGGAGGAGAGGGAAATGATAAGGAGGTTAACAAAACTCAATTTTATCTGTAATGTTTATTATGAAAGTAACACTCTAAAGCAAAAATGCCAAAATAACATTCTATACATAAGTTCATGAATCCTTGCTCTATATTGTTTTAAACTATTTTTTAAATCATGTAAAGATGAAATAACACTGCAAAGGGACAATGAAATGAACAGTTTGTCATAAAACAATTTAGTGTCCGTAAGTTTTTTTCAATAAGCTGCAAAAATTATTTGACCTTTCTATCCATCTTCCAGCCCAAATGGAGTATCAGTGCTCTTCAGTACAGCTATCTGAGATAATAACAGGGACGTGAGTCTTTAGAGGAAGCCTGGTTAGTTCTACCATCCACTCCATAGTCTTCATTTACAAAATATCCTATGTACCTTAATGTTAACAGTACATTAAGCATAAAAGGCTTATTTTCAAGGGGACAGTGAATTATAAATTCTAACTTTCCCTTAAATCTTCATATACACAGCTGAAGTAATAAAGCCAACTTATTACCTATCGCTGTTGATTGCCTGTGGTTAATTTTTTCAATAAAAATTTTACTTTAGAATAATTTTAGGTTTTTGGAAGGGTTACGAAGGTAGTACACAGAGTTCCCATATCCCCTTCACTCTGTTCCCCTAATGTTGTATCTTGCACAACCATATTACACTTGCCAAAACTAAGAAATTAACACTAGTACATTACTACTAACTAAACCACTGACTTTATAAAGATTTCATCTGTTTTTCACCAGTGTCTATTTTTTTGTTCCAGAATCCAATCCAGGATACTACAATGCATTTGGTCATCACGTCTCGTTAGGCTCCTCTAGTCAACATCAGTTTCTCAGTCTTCCCTTGGTTTTCATGACCTTGAAATTCTTTTTCAGCCCTGGTCAGGTATTTTGTAGAGTGCCTTCAATTTAGGTTCGTCTGATTCTTTTTCTCACGCTAAAACTGGGATTATGGGTTTGGGGGAAAGAATAAATACCACAGAGATGAAGGGGATACATGATATCAACATAATATATCACTGATGATGTTATTAGCTTTGATCACTTGATTATGGTAGTACTTGCCAGCTTTCTCCACTGTAAAGTTACTATTTTCTTCTTCCATCTATTTTTTTAGTCCAGCCCATTCCTGAGGGATGATTTTGAGGGGAGGGGAGGGGGGAGGATGGAGGGAAAGAAAGTCTCTACAAATATTTGAAATAATTCTGTGAGATTTCTCCCTTCCCCATTTATTTATTTACTCAATCATTTATCTTTATCAGCAGGGACTTAGTTATATTTATGCTCCACTTTGGGTAATGATCAAATACGTTATTTTGTTGCTTAAACTGTTCCAGCTCTGGACACTGGAAGCTCTTTTAGATTGGCCCCTATGCTGTTTTGACATGGGCCATTATTTTGTGGGTTTTTTTTGAGCACTTCCTTACCTTCTGGTACTATGAGATGCTCCAGGGTCCATCATGTATTTTCCTTGCCACAATCCTAGAATCAGCTATTTGTCTAAGGAGCCCTGCTTCCTTTTATTGGAGAATAATATTTAGAAACCAAAATCTGGACACTGGGTATAGTCATTGCTACTGGTGTGTCACTGTTTCTAGGCTGTCTCAGTGGAGAGAGCTGAGAAATATATGTATGTCTATTAACCAAGTTAATACAAGTATTAACACACACATATATAAATATATCTGTATGTGTTGGTACATATCTTAAACTAAACATGAGTTCATACTGATGTCTCCAACTCTAATTTGGTACCCTGTGGTTACTTTTTAATCCCAGATTATGCTTCCCTCTATTATCCAGCATTTTCAAACTGCATCCTCTATTCTCAGGCAATTCATTCAAGTCAAGTTCTAGTGTTAGTTGTACTGAAACAGGAAAGTAACATGTATTTCAAAATGCAGTCCTGTGATAGGTCATCTCCACTACTGGGACAATACATCAGCACACAATTAAGAGAACTATATAAATACTTTAACTTATTTTTCTTTAACTAGTGTTCTATTACTTCAATATATTACCTCTGAAAAGGCACTTTCCTTTAAAAAAAAAAAAGAAATGAAATGAGAGATCAATGGCATGGCTTACTATACACTATCAATATATCATTTTTAAGTATAAAAAAACAGAGAAATTATGTGGTTTGACCTATATTATTCCACCAGCCAAAGACAAAGCTGGAACTTGACTGTGTTTTAATCCATTTATTCTACTCCAATTTCCAAATCTGCATTACACTCCATTTTAGATTATAAGAAGTCGATTTATAAAACAAAAAATAAAAAACAAAAGTGACCTTCTCCCATAAGTTCAAGTCCTTATTACAGCTTTTCTTAGTTGTTTCAAGAGATAAAATATAGTTAGGTAAAGTATAGTTAATTCACTTCTGAAACAACTAATATTACAGTAGGAGTTCATATTTAGAGGTAAAACCATATTTAAAATAAACACAAATTATTCAGGGAACAAATATTTACTAAACATCCACATTGTGCAGGTGGATATTACTACGTAAGGTGAACAAACAAATGAGACACATTCTAGCCTTCCCAGAAGAACTCATAATCATAATCTAACGAGGCCAGGGATACAGCTAGGTATAAGAAAACTAATACAGGAAAGAAGACAATTACAAGTGAAGTATAAATATACAGATATTATTTTTTTCCTTCTCTAAACTACTGAGAACTTTGTTTGCAAATGATTTTAAGAATCTTGATTGTTTTCTGGCAGGGGCGACTAGAATATTTACTAAAAAGGGAATGTTTGGTGGTTAAAGAGTAAACTGTTACTTTGATAAATACCTGCTGCAATGCTGAAACTTAACAGAGGAATGCAAAGGGACTATGAAAGTAACAATATACAATTAGACTTGAGTCAACTATCCTGGATTTCATTTCAAATTCTAGATCTTCTTAGCTAGTCAACATTGGGTAAACCATCTCATCTATATGTCACCATACTTAAAATGGGGTTATCATCTGCCCTACTTACAAGACAGTAGGCTCAAATGAGAATGTACACAGCAAAACTACTTTGTAAGTAAAAGAGTGCTACCCAAACACAAAGTACCGTTTATTTTTTTAAAAAGACAGACAGGTAGATACATACATACATACATATATAAACACACATGTACGCACACATACACACAGTGTTATTATCCACTAGGACACCAAGCAAATGTGGAGTAAAAAATACACCTTGAACAATTTAGTTTTTAAAATACATGTATTTCTTAAAGTTAAAGATTAAATCCTATGAAGCTAAAGCTAGAAATTTAAGTGAGAGTACTAACCTTAACAAAATTATCAGGAAACATTCCTCTTCTCCCATTTAGTTCTCCTTCTAGCCATCCTTCCTCCTGCAGTTTTTTCACATTCCTGATGATTTCACCAACTCGAATAGTTAATTCATCATCATGTACAGCATCATAGTCATACTCCACAATATAGTCAACTAAAAAAAAGAAAAAGAAATGTCTAAAACTTAATTCATGAAATACAATTAACCATATTAATAAACTTAAAACTAAGGAGCCTGTTTAACAACAACAATATTACAAAGACATTATCAAGACTTACTTCAATGATTTTAAATATTTGGCTACATTTGTAAATTTCTTGATTGCCTTAGTATGAAACAGTACAAATTTTAAGTAGAAGCCTCAATACAACATATAATTCATGTCATAACTTGTTCTTATGGTCAGATGTATGTATTATTAGTGACAGATAATCTCTATAGTGGTCCCTATGATCCCCATCTCTTGATATTCGTGGCTTTGTGCAATTCCCTCTCCTTGACAGGGGACATGACTTATGACTGACTTCTGACCAACAGGAAATGACAAAGATGATAGACTTTATAGGACTACATAAGATTATAATGTCCTTCTTGCTAGGAAACTCTCTCACACTTGCTGGCTTTCAAGATGCAAGCTGCTTTGCTATGAGCTGGCCTACCAAGAAACTGATGAAGGTCTCTGGCTGACAGTCAGCAAAAAACTGAGGGCATTAGTCCAACAGCCACAGAGAACTAAATGATGCCAACTACCATGTACGCTTGGAAGCAGATCCTTCCCCAGCTGAGAGCCCAGACCTGGCCAACACCTTCACTGCAGCCTTGCACAGTACCCAGTTAGTCACACCCAGACTTACTAATCACAGAATCTGTGAGATAATAAAATGTGTGTTGTTTTTTGTTACTACACAACAGAAAATGAATACACCCTCAAGATTAGTAAGGATCTATTTTACTGCCTTTAAGTACAGAATTTTAGGTTATAGGACACCGTATGTGCATACTATTAATATTTTACAGGGCTCAATACAGGAAAGCAGTAACATATTTCCAATTCAAGATGGCAGACTAGCCATACCTCCATTCATCCTTTCTTCCTCCTCTAACAATGATTTTTTAAAAAGAATACACACATACACACACACAAACACACACACAGTTACAACCAAAAAAGGGATAAGGATTATGGGCAGACATTGTTGGTTGCAAAACCAACAGGCATTCCTACACTGACTCTCGACATCCTTCTTCCTTTCTTATTGAACCCCGATTTTGTTCAGGTATTTTGAGATCTTGTACTTTTACAAATGCGGCTTCCCTCATTCCCAGAGGGTTAAATCTTTTCTTGTTCAGACCAGGGCTTTTCAAATACTAATGTACAATCAAGTCATCTTATTGACTTGCAGAAGTCATCTTGTTGAATCTTGCTTAAATGTGTACTCTGAAAAGGCCCAATATCTAATGCTGCTGGTCAAAGAGGCAATGGTCTCAAGATAATTTATTTACTAAAGACAATTTATTTATAGTAATTTCACACACACAAACACATACGCATGCACACACTGGTTTTCAAATACACATGTGATAGATGGATTCTACCAATAAGATATGAGCAAGGGTTCGCAGAAAGTTTTATCCAAACTTAAAAACAAAACACAAGGAAAAAAATGTCTTCTTGCAGACTTTAGATGTTCCTCAGTGAGAATGTAATGCCCAAAACTGCTATAACTATTTAAGACAAGAAAAAGATGAAGAGATTGTCTTAATCCCTCCTTAAGACAAGAAAGAGATTATGATGGAAAAGAAGAAAGAGGAAAATGGCCTAGATCTTTTCTAGATTCATCAAACTGCATATTAACCAACAACACCATTAGTTTTCTTATTACAGAAGTAGTTTTTTCTTAACCTGTTTTAAAGAGTCATTTATTTTAGAGAGAAAGCGCACGCATGAGTGGGAGGGTCAGAGAGAGAGGGAGACAGAATGTGAAGCAGACTCCACACTGAGCACAGAGCCCAACTCGGGGCTCAATCTCACAACCCTGAGATCACGACCTGAGTGAAACCAAGAGTCAGACACTTAACTGACTGCACCACCCAAGGGCCCCAGTTTTTTCTTAACTTTTAAGTAAATTTTAGACAGGATTTCTACTTGCAGCTGAAAATCCCAACGGGAGAAGAAAGCCAAAAAGAAATTTCTCAAATTTATGAAAATGGATCCATAACTAATAAAGCCAGGAATAAAGCCCAGAGAATTTCAGGAAACTATAACAGATACCAAATTGCTCTGCAGAATCCTATAAAAGCTAGAAATTCAGAAAAGGAGGGCTTATGGGAAATGCAAAACTGAAAACAGGGGAATTACCTCTACCTGGAAGAGCTACCACTCACTATCAAGCACAATAGTTCTAAGACAATAATGCTAAATAGGCAGGCATTTTTCTCTGAAGGCCAAAAACTAAAGGGTTAATCCCCACCCTCCACCTGTGCCCCTCCCCCAACACACACACACACACACTTTGGGGAAACTAGTATAGCTCCTATGGATGAGTGCTGTTTCTTAGAGAAATGACTACTGATTTCCAGAATTTAGAGGTCTCCACAGCAATGAGCAGCTCTCTGCCTAATAACTGTAAAATAAAACACTAAGTTCTACCTACATAGTGTCCCCAGCTTATTATTTATTCATAAATATGAATAGACTATAGTTAATCATGAAAAACCATAATAAAATGAAAAATTACTCCTGGATGAAACATACACCCACGTCCCCCCTTCTACCCTCCAAAACAATTGAGTCCTAAAGCCATTTAGGGATAGAAGAGCACAGTGGGGGAAAAGCAGGGGAAGTGAGGAGGAGTCGTCTAATATGAGAAGTTAAAGACCAAGAAGAGTAAAAGTATCCAAAATTGGGGTGGGGGTAGAAGCAGAAGTCAAGCTATCAGAGCCAGAGTACAGTAAGGAGAGCATCCACATATGGGGGCTTCCCTACAACAGCTATCAGCACTCTAACACAAGGTGAGGTAGGCATCCAGGTAGAGGCACCCTGACATGGTGTATCAGACCCCAAGCACAGTGGAGAGGGCATCCAAGCTGAGGGGTAACTTGGTAAGGGATATCAAAGGTCAAATGGTATTGGGGGTGGGTGGGAGATTTCCAAGCAGAGTTATGGAAGGGTAAAGGTAATCTAAAATGAGGACTAATAGTCCAAGGAGAACAGGGTGTTTGTGTGACAAAAGAGATGGAAGACTAGCTACATCCAGGGGATTGATCAAGTAAGTAAATATATTAAGGGTAATAGAAGCCAAGCTTCTCTGTGTCAGAGAAGGGAGTTGCAAACATAAAGGAGAAAAAGCTAGATTCGATGATGTGATACTGAATGAGAAGTACCACCATGAACTTAACAGTTTTCAATACATAAATATACACACACATAAAACACACACACACACCAGCTCTGTCCACTGAAAGGGTGTGAAACCAGCAACAGTCTAATAGCAATGAGCAAACCTAATGCTGAGATCTTAAAAACACCACTTTCTACTACAGAGAACTAGGAATCCTTGGGATTCCGCCATTAAGGCAGGAAAAGTACAAGATAAGCCTGGGACACAAAATTATGTCACAAAACAAGTTAAAAAAGATAAGGTGATGCCAAAGGACAGAGAGAAGTGATATCAAAAAGGCTCCTACTGGCCAAATCAGGGCAATCTGAGCATCAAAATAAACAATGAAAGTTAACAATATATTCCACTGAATAAAGTAAGAAATCATGCATCCATGCATGTATAAATAAATGTTAATTTTTTAATTCTATGGTTGGATTGTGATCAAGTAGAAGATCCTGGCTTGCAGAAAATACATACTAAGATATTCAGGAGAAAGACAGGAAAAATGTCTTTGTACTGCACTTATTTCTACAATTTACCATTTCAAAATAAAAATTGTGAACATGTACAAATTTTTATCCTCAAGAGATATAACGAAGTTCATAAAATCAGAAAAGACTGCTATTAAAAAAAACTAAGAAAATAAAAAGGGTTGAGAAATCTATATCTTCCGGGGTGCCTGGGTGGCTCAGTAAGTTAAACATCTGCGTTTGGCTCAGGTCATGAACCCAGGGTCCTGGGATCCAGCCCTGCATCGTCAGCGGGGGGCCATGCTTCTAGCCCTCCCTCTGCTGCTCCCCCTGCCTGTTCTCTCTCTGTCAAATTAATAAATAAATAAAATCTTTAAAAAAAAAATCTTTATCTTCCAACATGTTTAACTTTTTTTCTCTTTTGGAGAGGTGGAGACAAATCCAAGAAAGTTTTCCAGAAAAGGTAAAGCAAAAAGACATAAAGAAAACATAAAAGACAGATGACCAATCCAGACAATTCAACATCCAATTAACAGTTCTAAGGGGAAAAAAATAGAGAATTGACAATGAAATAACACAAGGAAATACTCCAAAGCTAAATGAAACACATCTTCAAATATAAAGAGGTCTATGAAAATCCAGTACAGTAACAAAAAAGTAAGTACTCACGTTTAGATGAAATTTTATAACAAAGATAAATATATCCCTGAAAGCTCTCTGAAAAGAAAGAGTTCATCTACAAAAGAATGAGAATCATCAGAAGACTTCTCATTGAGGACAACAGATTCTACGGGAGAAGTAAAAAGGCAAGGCCACTTAAGTATTAAAGGAAAATGAATTCCACACTCAGCCAAATCAGCAGGCAAGTATAGGCTGTAACATTTTCACACAGGCAAGGAAAAGGAAATTAACCCTACATATGACCTTACATGCTACCCAGTAAAATAAAAAATCTGAAACAAAAGAAAGGAAGACATGAAATCCAAGAAATACTGGAGCCAATCCCAGAGAGTAAGAAAAGTGCTAAGATGGTAACTGTGCAACAAAACTAAGGAACAGTCTAGACTAAGAAGGAGACAAAAAGTTCTAAGAGGTATTTGGGGGCAAAGAGGAATGAGGAACAGACTGTTTTTTAATTAACTTTAGATTTTTAAAAGCTAATAATACAAGTGGTAATCACTAACATAATAAGAGTATAAATTGCCAAACAAAAAATACTGGACTTGCAGTTTCAGCTCCAACATATGAAAAACTTAGAAGCTGTCACTCCCACCCCTACAAGAAAAAAGCTAAACAAACT